CGGAATTCCGATTATCCGGAATTCCGATTATCCGGAATTCCGATTATCCGGAATTCCGATTATCCGGAATTCCGATTATCCGGAATTCCGATTATCCGGAATTCCGATTATCCGGAATTCGGATTATCCGGAATTCGGATTATCCGGAATTCGGATTATCCGGAATTCGGATTATCCGGAATTCCGATTATCCGGAATTCGGATTATCCGGAATTCCGATTATCCGGAATTCCGATTATCCGGAATTGCGATTATCCGGAATTCCGATTATCCGGAATTCCGATTATCCGGAATTCCGATTATCCGGAATTCCGATTATCCGGAATTCGGATTATCCGGAATTCGGATTATCCGGAATTCGGATTATCCGGAATTCGAATTATCCGGAATTCCGATTATCCGGAATTCGGATTATCCGGAATTCGGATTATCCGGAATTCCGATTATCCGGAATTCGGATTATCCGGAATTCGGATTATCCGGAATTCGGATTATCCGGAATTCGGATTATCCGGAATTCGGATTATCCGGAATTCCGATTATCCGGAATTCCGATTATCCGGAATTCGGATTATCCGGAATTCGGATTATCCGGAATTCGGATTATCCGGAATTCGGATTATCCGGAATTCGGATTATCCGGAATTCGGATTATCCGGAATTCCGATTATCCGGAATTCGGATTATCCGGAATTCGGATTATCCGGAATTCGGATTATCCGGAATTCGGATTATCCGGAATTCGGATTATCCGGAATTCCGATTATCCGGAATTCGGATTATCCGGAATTCGGATTATCCGGAATTCCGATTATCCGGAATTCGGATTATCCGGAATTCCGATTATCCGGAATTCCGATTATCCGGAATTCCGATTATCCGGAATTCGGATTATCCGGAATTCCGATTATCCGGAATTCGGATTATCCGGAATTCCGATTATCCGGAATTCGGATTATCCGGAATTCGGATTATCCGGAATTCGGATTATCCGGAATTCGGATTATCCGGAATTCGGATTATCCGGAATTCCGATTATCCGGAATTCAGATTATCCGGAATTCGGATTATCCGGAATTCCGATTATCCGGAATTCCGATTATCCGGAATTCCGATTATCCGGAATTCCGATTACCCGGAATTCGGATTATCCGGAATTCGTATTATCCGGAATTCCGATTATCCGGAATTCCGATTATCCGGAATTCCGATTATCCGGAATTCCGATTATCCGGAATTCCGATTATCCGGAATTCGGATTATCCGGAATTCGGATTATCCGGAATTCGGATTATCCGGAATTCGAATTATCCGGAATTCCGATTATCCGGAATTCCGATTATCCGGAATTCCGATTATCCGGAATTCCGATTATCCGGAATTCCGATTATCCGGAATTCCGATTATCCGGAATTCGGATTATCCGGAATTCGGATTATCCGGAATTCGGATTATCCGGAATTCGGATTATCCGGAATTCGGATTATCCGGAATTCGGATTATCCGGAATTCCGATTATCCGGAATTCCGATTATCCGGAATTCCGATTATCCGGAATTCCGATTATCCGGAATTCCGATTATCCGGAATTCCGATTATCCGGAATTCGGATTATCCGGAATTCGGATTATCCGGAATTCGGATTATCCGGAATTCGGATTATCCGGAATTCCGATTATCCGGAATTCCGATTATCCGGAATTCCGATTATCCGGAATTCCGATTATCCGGAATTCGGATTATCCGGAATTCGGATTATCCGGAATTCGGATTATCCGGAATTCCGATTATCCGGAATTCGGATTATCCGGAATTCGGATTATCCGGAATTCGGATTATCCGGAATTCGGATTATCCGGAATTCCGATTATCCGGAATTCGGATTATCCGGAATTCGGATTATCCGGAATTCCGATTATCCGGAATTCGGATTATCCGGAATTCGGATTATCCGGAATTCGGATTATCCGGAATTCCGATTATCCGGAATTCGGATTATCCGGAATTCGGATTATCCGGAATTCCGATTATCCGGAATTCCGATTATCCGGAATTCCGATTATCCGGAATTCCGATTATCCGGAATTCCGATTATCCGGAATTCCGATTATCCGGAATTCCGATTATCCGGAATTCGGATTATCCGGAATTCGGATTATCCGGAATTCCGATTATCCGGAATTCGGATTATCCGGAATTCGGATTATCCGGAATTCCGATTATCCGGAATTCCGATTATCCGGAATTCCGATTATCCGGAATTCCGATTATCCGGAATTCCGATTATCCGGAATTCCGATTATCCGGAATTCCGATTATCCGGAATTCGGATTATCCGGAATTCGGATTATCCGGAATTCGGATTATCCGGAATTCCGATTATCCGGAATTCCGATTATCCGGAATTCCGATTATCCGGAATTCCGATTATCCGGAATTCCGATTATCCGGAATTCGGATTATCCGGAATTCGGATTATCCGGAATTCGGATTATCCGGAATTCGGATTATCCGGAATTCGGATTATCCGGAATTCGGATTATCCGGAATTCGGATTATCCGGAATTCGGATTATCCGGAATTCGGATTATCCGGAATTCGGATTATCCGGAATTCGGATTATCCGGAATTCGGATTATCCGGAATTCGGATTATCCGGAATTCGGATTATCCGGAATTCGGATTATCCGGAATTCGGATTATCCGGAATTCGGATTATCCGGAATTCGGATTATCCGGAATTCGGATTATCCGGAATTCGGATTATCCGGAATTCGGATTATCCGGAATTCCGATTATCCGGAATTCCGATTATCCGGAATTCGGATTATCCGGAATTCGGATTATCCGGAATTCGGATTATCCGGAATTCGGATTATCCGGAATTCGGATTATCCGGAATTCGGATTATCCGGAATTCCGATTATCCGGAATTCCGATTATCCGGAATTCGGATTATCCGGAATTCCGATTATCCGGAATTCCGATTATCCGGAATTCGGATTATCCGGAATTCGGATTATCCGGAATTCGATTATCCGGAATTCGGATTATCCGGAATTCGATTATCCGGAATTCGATTATCCGGAATTCCGATTATCCGGAATTCCGATTATCCGGAATTCCGATTATCCGGAATTCCGATTATCCGGAATTCGGATTATCCGGAATTCGGATTATCCGGAATTGGATTATCCGGAATTCGGATTATCCGGAATTCGGATTATCCGGAATTCGGATTATCCGGAATTCGGATTATCCGGAATTCGGATTATCCGGAATTCGGATTATCCGGAATTCGGATATCCGGAATTCGGATTATCCGGAATTCGGATTATCCGGAATTCGGATTATCCGGAATTCGGATATCCGGACTTCGGATTATCCGGACTTCGGATTATCCGGACTTCGGATTATCCGGACTTCGGATTATCCGGACTTCGGATTATCCGGACTTCGGTTCATCCGGACTTCGGTTCATCCGGACTTTGGATTATCCGGACTTCGTATTATCCGGACTTCGGATTATCCGGAACCAATGGGGTTTATTGTTTTTATAATACTTCATTGTATATAGCATTCAAACAACACATGCTTATACACTTAAAGTATTAATATTTTTGATTCTCTAGAAATTGTCTAGAATATACCTTATTTAGCAAAACAACGTTTGCCGGGTCAGCTAGTATATATATATATATATATGTATGTAATCAGTGGTGTTGTGCTAATATTTTTTCTCATGTTTGTTCCGGTTCCGTTCGAAAAGGAAAGAAACAAAAATTATTACAAAACCCATTTTGTGTACATATATGAATGTTTATTACAATAATATGAACATTCAATAAAAATTAGTTGAATTATAATTTATAAAATTCACTTATTAAATCATTTACTGTATGGAGCGATTTAAAAAAAAAAATTCTTGCCGGAACGCGTTCCGGCCCAAAAATGATTTGCCGGAATGACGTTCACCACTGTATGTAATTTGTGTGTGATATATTTTCATGCATGTAATGCATTAAGGTAAATTAAAAGTTATATTATGTGATCAATAACAATAACGTGACAAAAATTATGCTTTCAGTCAAAAATTTTAAATAAAATTAGTTGACTGTATTGCTCAATTTTTCAAATCAAAGTTTTTCACGTCTTCTGCCATGGACATCATATGTGTTTACCGGGAATTGGTAAATGAAAAATGTTTTATTTAATTTTTTAAGTTTTGAATTTGAAGTAGATATAAGAAAAATTTTGGTATTATTTGAATCGTTGCATCCGCGTTCAAATTTTACTTTTTTTCTTGCTTTTTGAACGAACAAACTAAAAATAAACTTAAATTTAAACAAAACTCTAAATTTTGAAATTTTCTCAACTTATTATGGAGTAAATTTTTCCATAATTTGTGTTGGAGATTTGAAAATTAGTGGAACACTTGTGGATAAGCTCGGTAAAAATAAAATTATATAATTCTTGGCTTGAAGTTTCGTCGAAAAATGTTATTTAAGTTTATATTGATAAAGATTTTTTTATTATAGCAAATAATAGTTACAAATGACGCAAATATAATAGCTTTTTATAACTGTTAAACCGCTCGAATAAATTCACTGTGTTCAAAAATATTATGCCTATACCTCCCGGACTAATAATAATATGCTACTGTGAAGCGCGAATTAATGTCAAAATGTGAAAATACAAAAAAAATGTTTACCATGTATACTGTTAAAGATTTGACTAATTGCTTTAATCATACCTTTTGGAATAATGCAAAAAAGATATGTAAACAAACATTTTTATACATGATTCTTGTGAGTAGTTTTTCAGTGTCTTCTATTTCGTCCTTATGATTTGTATCATAACCTAACTTTATCAAATAATATAAGACGAAAATATACTATATTAATAAAATGGAGACGCCCTCACTTTTTTAAACTACACTTATGTATTTGTTTACTGATGTCTGTAAATCTATTTCTAGAGTCCATATAATTTACCTTTTGATGAAAATAATGCTGTCAATCTATCATTTTAAAATTCTAAAATACTCAGCAATTATTTTATCCACCACTAGTGCCTCTTTACTTCTCTTCGAGACTTATAGAACTAGAAAAAAATTAAACTCTCTGCTAAGAACTAATGTTTTAGAGTGCGAAAGAAAACGTGCTGACTATATATTTATTAATGATCCTAATTTAAAAGAACATTTGATTGAAATATATGGCGAGGGTGATGAGTTTACTCAAGAGCCAGGACTTAAAAAAAATGGCTTTGAAATGCCATCATTTACTAAGTGGTGGAAAAATATTAAAAATAATTATGCTTTACGCCTGATCCACTTAGCACATAGTGGTACAAAATATGATAGAATTCGTGCTATCCGGTTGTTATCAAAAATGACTTATTTGCAAGATTGGGACTATAGATCTTTAGCTCAACAATGTGATGCACTAACTGCAGTTGGATTAGCACGCTCTACATCTTGTGATTTTCGATGGTTTTTAGATCCACCATTTCGTTATAAAACTTTAGAACCTAAAAAGTTGATACAGGAATTGAGACTGTTGCTCATAGCATTAGGCCCACATCCATGTATGCAATCATTTTTGAATAAAATGTTTCATGATTTCCATGAGTTTGGAGATTCTTATGACAATAGCATAGAGTATGTTCCAGGAACTCCACTGTTCAGTCATGTGCAAGATGCAATGAAATTATGTGTTGACGCCCTGGTGCATCTTTCTGTTAGACCAGGAAAAGCAAAAGAATTGGTAGAAAATGGAGCCTTACAATTGTTAATAGATGTAGCACGACATAGTAAATCAAACACAGAAATTAAATCAAATATTGCTGAAATATTGTCAAATATTGCTATTTATGGAAATTCTTTAAGTTTGGTGTACAGTTCTGGGTGGATTGGTATTCTGCATCAATGGTCTATTGATGAAGATGTACGATTAAGAGTTTGTGCATCTAGAGCTCTAATTAATTTTGACGAGGATGATTTAGTAGGTGATTACACATATCCAGCTAGAGTATTTCCATTATATCCCGTAAAAAGATGTACGAGAAAACCAAAGTTAGATGTTATTTTTGTTCATGGTCTTCTAGGTGGTGTATTTATCACATGGCGTCAACGTGATATCAAAGATGAAGCTCTGGGTCTTGTGGAAAGTATGACCTGTGGTGGAATTTGTGATGATTCTCAAATGAGAAAGGTTACAGTACCTCCACCAAAGCAAGAACTCAACTTTCCTAATGAACCCTATTCATTCTGTTGGCCAATGGATTGGCTACCAAAAGATTTTGAAAACATTCGAATTTTAGGTGTCAATTATGATACCTCCCTTTCCCTTTGGACAACTACATCTTGCAATTGCTATAGTTCTATGGGGTCGACACTTGAAGGGAGAGCTCATGATCTAATGCATAGACTAGTTCAAGCAGGAGTCGGTATGGATGGTCGGAAAGTAGTTTGGGTTGCTCATTCTATGGGTGGTTTACTAGTAAAATCTATGTTAGTTCAATCATTTGAAAGCCAGAATGAAATGTTAAGATCTTTGTATAAAAGTACATCTGGAATAGCATTTCTTGGCACCCCACATGATGGATCTAGTATAGCAGCATTGCCTGCTCCAACAGCAGCACTATTATGGCCATCTATTGAAGTGAAAGAGTTGAGAGAGAAATCACCTAAACTAAGAGAGTTACATCACAAATTTCTTGAAATATTGGATGATCACAAAGTAGAAGTGGTTACCGTATGTGAAGGAAAACCAACATTATTAACAGCTCTTAAGGTTCCTTTAGTATTTGTAGCTCCACAAAGTGCTGATCCGGGAATAGGAGATTTTTATACAGCTCCAAGTAATCATTTAGATATATGTAAACCAACTTCCAGACAATCGTTCCTTTATAAAAGGCTGCTAGGCGTGATAAAAAATTCTTTAACTGTAGAACACTAATACCCTTTATTTTTTTTAAATAAAAGTGTGATATTTATTTATTTTGAAAATATTGTTTTCCTTTTTTAGATTGAAAAAATAAAATATTTTAAAGTTTGGTTACATTCTTTGTTAATATAATGCAAATTTACTAAATATTGTTTGATAAAAATAATAAAAGTGGATATCAAAATGCAATACTTTATTTGAGAGTAAAAACATATAAAATATTTCATACTAAAATCACTACAGTTAAAATATTATCGCTGTGGAGATGGTTTTGGCTTTGGCATTTTTCCTAGTAATGCTTGAATTTCTTTTTTTTCATCAAAGCCCTTCCATAATTCAAATAGGTTTATCACAGTTTTAGCAATTTCTTGAATCTGAAGGCAAATTATTTTTGTTAATAACAATTAAACATTTTTCTTTAATATAATAAAGCTTGTACCTTCTCCATATCAACATTGAGTTCAGCAAACCAGCTCTTCATTTCTTTCTGAAGTATTACACATGCAATTTGCAAGCATCCAATAGCAATCTAAGAATAATTCATATTATATATATATATATATATATATATATATATATATATATATATATATATATATCTTATGGCAGTATTTAAATTCAAATTTATTTGTTTTATATTGATCGAATTTCTGATCTTTGTTCAAATTACCTGGTAAGGAGGGTATAGCAAGCTAACATCTGTTCTTAGTGAGTCATTAACAATTCTCCATGCTAATGTCAATAATTGCTCTTCATGGCCCATGTCTTGCACCATTTGTAATAATGGTCGGTAAGGTTGATACACAATTAAACAACAGTCCAAGTTTTCAAGTAAATAAAATTCACATTCTAAAATATGATTAGTTCTATATGGGAATTCCTGCTGTCCATACGCATAACTAAATTTATTCTTTATCACAGTTTGACAAGTGGTGATTAAACGTGAATTAGATATTACTCCAAATTCTTCAACTTTAGAAGAGAGAAATATACAAGTTGGTGCTAAGAGCAAAGGATCTATACACTTTAAAGAATTTCTAGCGTAAAATCGCTTAAAGTAAACTGTTGCTGTTGCTATAACTTGTTGTCGAAGCTTAAGCTGTTCACCTAAAATCTGAATTAAATTTGAGAAGAAAATAAAGATTTTTTGGTATTCCTCTTCTGACAAAATAGATAAGTCATGCTGTCGTTCACGTATTAAATCTTGTTTATCTAAAATCCATTGCTGATGATGCGAACTTTGCCAAAAATTTCCAGCCATTATTTAATAACAAATAATTTGCGAATTTATTTAAGTAAATATTACTTCCATATAGAAAACGACATAACCTATTGTTGGCGTCAAAACACCTGTCTGTGCGCCATTCCTTCAAATTCGACCAATCACCGATGTCTCATTTGACATTTGTCGATCTCCCAGAATGCAAAGGAATGCATAACTTTTTCGCGCAGGCGGGTGATCTAGCACAGATGGCACAGATTCAGTATCGTTCATTGTTAGTTTTTTTTCCTTTTAACTACATTTTATACCATAAAACAAAGGAACTCAATATTGGTTTACCTTTTTGACAAACAAGTGTGCATAGTTTTGAATGACATTTCGTTATTAGTAATTAAATACCAAATAATTTTATACAGTCGAGCATCTTGTTGGGTGCGTGAACTGTCTCTGTGGATAGAATTTGAAATAACATCTGTGTAACAGCCATTTATTTCGGTTTGTCAACGATTTTATGTTTTATGGTATTCAGTTGATGTTTGTTACTAGTTTTTATAATTATTTGTATTAAATAAGATGAGTGGTAAAACGGAGCATAAGTCGGAAGAAATTCCTGAAATTATATACGATGCTAATACTAAGCAAAGTTATAAAAGACACAGATTTTTTGGAAAGGTAAATATGTGTGAATTGAAATAAATAAGTTTTTCCAATTAAGTTTTATATTTAGATATTTCATTTTTATAAAAAGTATTGAATGCATTA